ATGTAAAATTCTTCGTGACGTATAATCATAAGCATAATTTTTTAAGGGGTCGACCGGTAAGCCAGTGGAATGCCTCGGTCAGATGACCAAAAGCTCCAGCTGTGGGCCATATGACTAAGACCTAACCTAACCTTTGTGACGTGGACGTTTAGGAAGTTCTGTGAGGACTACCATAACTGTTTGTGGGATAAGATTTGCTGAAGATGTATCAAGTGTAAGTGGAGTTTAACTGAAGTGTATCAAGTGTAAGTGGAGTTTAACTGAAGTGTATCAAGTGTAAGTGGAGTTTAACTGAAGTGTATCAAGTGTAAGTGGAGTTTAACTGAAGTGTATCAAGTGTAAGTGGAGTTTAACTGAAGTGTATCAAGTGTAAGTAGAGTTTAACTGAAGTGTGTCAAGTGTAAGTGGAGTTTAACTGAAGTGTGTCAAGTGTAAGTGGAGTTTAACTGAAGTGTATCAAGTGTAAGTGGAGTTTAACTGAAGTGTATCAAGTGTAAGTAGAGTTTAACTGAAGTGTGTCAAGTGTAAGTGGAGTTTAACTGAAGTGTATCAAGTGTAAGTAGAGTTTAACTGAAGTGTGTCAAGTGTAAGTGGAGTTTAACTGAAGTGTATCAAGTGTAAGTGGAGTTTAACTGAAGTGTATCAAGTGTAAGTGGAGTTTAACTGAAGTGTGTCAAGTGTAAGTGGAGTTTAACTGAAGTGTATCAAGTGTAAGTGGAGTTTAACTGAAGTGTGTCAAGTGTAAGTGGAGTTTAACTGAAGTGTATCAAGTGTAAGTAGAGTTTAACTGAAGTGTGTCAAGTGTAAGTGGAGTTTAACTGAAGTGTATCAAGTGTAAGTGGAGTTTAACTGAAGTGTATCAAGTGTAAGTGGAGTTTAACTGAAGTGTATCAAGTGTAAGTGGAGTTTAACTGAAGTGTATCAAGTGTAAGTGGAGTTTAACTGAAGTGTATCAAGTGTAAGTGGAGTTTAACTGAAGTGTATCAAGTGTAAGTAGAGTTTAACTGAAGTGTATCAAGTGTAAGTAGAGTTTAACTGAAGTGTATCAAGTGTAAGTAGAGTTTAACTGAAGTGTATCAAGTGTAAGTGGAGTTTAACTGAAGTGTATCAAGTGTAAGTGGAGTTTAACTGAAGTGTGTCAAGTGTAAGTGGAGTTTAACTGAAGTGTATCAAGTGTAAGTGGAGTTTAACTGAAGTGTATCAAGTGTAAGTGGAGTTTAACTGAAGTGTGTCAAGTGTAAGTGGAGTTTAACTGAAGTGTGTCAAGTGTAAGTGGAGTTTAACTGAAGTGTGTCAAGTGTAAGTGGAGTTTAACTGAAGTGTATCAAGTGTAAGTGGAGTTTAACTGAAGTGTATCAAGTGTAAGTGGAGTTTAACTGAAGTGTATCAAGTGTAAGTGGAGTTTAACTGAAGTGTGTCAAGTGTAAGTGGAGTTTAACTGAAGTGTGTCAAGTGTAAGTGGAGTTTAACTGAAGTGTGTCAAGTGTAAGTGGAGTTTAACTGAAGTGTATCAAGTGTAAGTGGAGTTTAACTGAAGTGTATCAAGTGTAAGTGGAGTTTAACTGAAGTGTGTCAAGTGTAAGTGGAGTTTAACTGAAGTGTGTCAAGTGTAAGTGGAGTTTAACTGAAGTGTATCAAGTGTAAGTGGAGTTTAACTGAAGTGTATCAAGTGTAAGTAGAGTTTAACTGAAGTGTGTCAAGTGTAAGTGGAGTTTAACTGAAGTGTGTCAAGTGTAAGTGGAGTTTAACTGAAGTGTATCAAGTGTAAGTGGAGTTTAACTGAAGTGTATCAAGTGTAAGTGGAGTTTAACTGAAGTGTATCAAGTGTAAGTGGAGTTTAACTGAAGTGTGTCAAGTGTAAGTGGAGTTTAACTGAAGTGTGTCAAGTGTAAGTGGAGTTTAACTGAAGTGTATCAAGTGTAAGTGGAGTTTAACTGAAGTGTGTCAAGTGTAAGTGGAGTTTAACTGAAGTGTATCAAGTGTAAGTGGAGTTTAACTGAAGTGTATCAAGTGTAAGTGGAGTTTAACTGAAGTGTATCAAGTGTAAGTGGAGTTTAACTGAAGTGTATCAAGTGTAAGTGAGTTTAACTGAAGTGTATCAAGTGTAAGTAGAGTTAACTGAAGTGTATCAAGTGTAAGTAGAGTTTAACTGAAGTGTACAAGTGTAAGTGAGTTTAACTGAAGTGTATCAAGTGTAAGTGGAGTTTAACTGAAGTGTATCAAGTGTAAGTGGAGTTTAACTGAAGTGTATCAAGTGTAAGTGGAGTTTAACTGAAGTGTATCAAGTGTAAGTGGAGTTTAACTGAAGTGTATCAAGTGTAAGTGGAGTTTAACTGAAGTGTATCAAGTGTAAGTGGAGTTTAACTGAAGTGTATCAAGTGTAAGTGGAGTTTAACTGAAGTGTGTCAAGTGTAAGTGGAGTTTAACTGAAGTGTATCAAGTGTAAGTGGAGTTTAACTGAAGTGTATCAAGTGTAAGTGGAGTTTAACTGAAGTGTATCAAGTGTAAGTGGAGTTTAACTGAAGTGTATCAAGTGTAAGTGGAGTTTAACTGAAGTGTATCAAGTGTAAGTGGAGTTTAACTGAAGTGTATCAAGTGTAAGTGGAGTTTAACTGAAGTGTATCAAGTGTAAGTGGAGTTTAACTGAAGTGTATCAAGTGTAAGTGGAGTTTAACTGAAGTGTGTCAAGTGTAAGTGGAGTTTAACTGAAGTGTATCAAGTGTAAGTGGAGTTTAACTGAAGTGATCAAGTGTAAGTGGAGTTTAACTGAAGTGTATCAAGTGTAAGTGGAGTTTAACTGAAGTGTATCAAGTGTAAGTGGAGTTTAACTGAAGTGTATCAAGTGTAAGTGAGTTTAACTGAAGTGTATCAAGTGTAAGTGGAGTTTAACTGAAGTGTATCAAGTGTAAGTGGAGTTTAACTGAAGTGTGTCAAGTGTAAGTGGAGTTTAACTGAAGTGTATCAAGTGTAAGTGGAGTTTAACTGAAGTGTTCAAGTGTAAGTGGAGTTTAACTGAAGTGTATCAAGTGTAAGTGGAGTTTAACTGAAGTGTATCAAGTGTAAGTAGGAGTTTAACTGAAGTGTGTCAAGTGTAAGTGGAGTTTAACTGAAGTGTTCAAGTGTAAGTGGAGTTTAACTGAAGTGTATCAAGTGTAAGTGGAGTTTAACTGAAGTGTATCAAGTGTAAGTGGAGTTTAACTGAAGTGTATCAAGTGTAAGTGGAGTTTAACTGAAGTGTGTCAAGTGTAAGTGGAGTTTAACTGAAGTGTATCAAGTGTAAGTGGAGTTTAACTGAAGTGTATCAAGTGTAAGTGGAGTTTAACTGAAGTGTATCAAGTGTAAGTGGAGTTTAACTGAAGTGTATCAAGTGTAAGTGGAGTTTAACTGAAGTGTATCAAGTGTAAGTGGAGTTTAACTGAAGTGTATCAAGTGTAAGTGGAGTTTAACTGAAGTGTATCAAGTGTAAGTGGAGTTTAACTGAAGTGTATCAAGTGTAAGTAGAGTTTAACTGAAGTGTATCAAGTGTAAGTAGAGTTTAACTGAAGTGTATCAAGTGTAAGTGGAGTTTAACTGAAGTGTATCAAGTGTAAGTGGAGTTTAACTGAAGTGTATCAAGTGTAAGTGGAGTTTAACTGAAGTGTATCAAGTGTAAGTGGAGTTTAACTGAAGTGTATCAAGTGTAAGTGGAGTTTAACTGAAGTGTATCAAGTGTAAGTGGAGTTTAACTGAAGTGTATCAAGTGTAAGTGGAGTTTAACTGAAGTGTTCAAGTGTAAGTGGAGTTTAACTGAAGTGTATCAAGTGTAAGTGGAGTTTAACTGAAGTGTATCAAGTGTAAGTGGAGTTTAACTGAAGTGTATCAAGTGTAAGTGGAGTTTAACTGAAGTGTATCAAGTGTAAGTGGAGTTTAACTGAAGTGTATCAAGTGTAAGTGGAGTTTAACTGAAGTGTATCAAGTGTAAGTGGAGTTTAACTGAAGTGTATCAAGTGTAAGTGGAGTTTAACTGAAGTGTATCAAGTGTAAGTGGAGTTTAACTGAAGTGTATCAAGTGTAAGTGGAGTTTAACTGAAGTGTATCAAGTGTAAGTGGAGTTTAACTGAAGTGTATCAAGTGTAAGTGGAGTTTAACTGAAGTGTATCAAGTGTAAGTGGAGTTTAACTGAAGTGTATCAAGTGTAAGTGGAGTTTAACTGAAGTGTATCAAGTGTAAGTGGAGTTTAACTGAAGTGTATCAAGTGTAAGTGGAGTTTAACTGAAGTGTATCAAGTGTAAGTGGAGTTTAACTGAAGTGTATCAAGTGTAAGTGGAGTTTAACTGAAGTGTATCAAGTGTAAGTGGAGTTTAACTGAAGTGTTCAAGTGTAAGTGGAGTTTAACTGAAGTGTATCAAGTGTAAGTGGAGTTTAACTGAAGTGTATCAAGTGTAAGTGGAGTTTAACTGAAGTGTATCAAGTGTAAGTGGAGTTTAACTGAAGTGTATCAAGTGTAAGTGGAGTTTAACTGAAGTGTATCAAGTGTAAGTGGAGTTTAACTGAAGTGTATCAAGTGTAAGTGGAGTTTAACTGAAGTGTATCAAGTGTAAGTGGAGTTTAACTGAAGTGTATCAAGTGTAAGTGGAGTTTAACTGAAGTGTATCAAGTGTAAGTGGAGTTTAACTGAAGTGTATCAAGTGTAAGTGGAGTTTAACTGAAGTGTATCAAGTGTAAGTGGAGTCTGAGGTGGTGTGGAATCATTTCATGTGAATGAAAAAAGTTTTCCCTAGTTGTCTTTTAGGTCGTCTCTCTGTGTTATGCCTATTATTTTTTTTATTGAAAAGAAATTCAAGTAGTCAGCTGTTAAATTCTGTTCGAAAATATACCTAGAAGCCTACACTAACCTTACTAAAGATTTCTTAATGTAACCGAGATTAATTAATTTATGTAAGAGACTGATGAAGTATATTTAAATGCTTTGTCTGGAAGGTCAGATATTTATGTTATTAACTATCTTTTAAACTCCACAGCTGGCTTCCCCAGCTCTGTGCTACAGGAAGTGGAAGTGACAGTGTTTGAATCCAAAGAATGTGACAAGAGTTACTCCACTCTGCTGGAGTACCCCAGCTCCTGGCCTCTAGGCATCGGGGAGGAGATAGTATGTGCAGGAGACCGCAGTGGTGGAAGAGACTCGTGCCAGGTAACAGTTCAATTCAATTCAATTCAATTCAATTCAGTTCAAGTTTATTCTCTATAAGGGTTACAATGTGGGGTTTACAGGTTTTGGGTATTGTGTGGTTTACATGTTATAAAATACTAATTACAGAGGGGGCCACTAGGACACCTAGCATGGCTAGGTATTTCGAGCAGACTTAGATTAATTCTTAACATTAAATCCTTACAGATTATGGTATTAAGGCTAAGTGACTACATCATAATTTGTGAGTTTAGCAATGTGAATGCTTTTGTTTTGGCACAATACAAAGTGTTTATATTGGAGTATCATAGGCAAACTTATGACTAGTTGGGATTCATTATTTTAAGGTTAAGATTAGTATTTCTGGGTTTATAGTCAGTGGGTGAGTGAATGTAATTATGAACCACCAGGTGGTTATCATGTAGTTAGTTGTCGGGGTGGATCAGGGAGATAAGATGTTTTCTAACCGTAGTTTTGAAAGTGATGAATGTGTCTGCAGTTCTAGAGTTTTCAGGTAGGGTGTTCTAGATTTTAGGTCCTTTGAAATACATTGAATTTTTGTAAAGGTTTAGTCGGACACGGGGAATGTCATAGAGATGTTTATGTCTGGTGTTATGCCTGGGGATCCTGTCATAACTATCAAGCAAGCGTTTTAGGTCAAGGTTAATATTGGAATTTAAGGTCCTGTAGATATAGATTGCACAGTAGTAAGTGTGGATGTTCTGAACAGGGAGTAAGTTTAGATCTATGAAGAGTGGGGGGGGGGTTGCCAGGGATGGGATTTAGAGATTATTCTTACTGCGGCTTTTTGTTGGGTTATTAATGGCTTCAGGTGTGTTGATGCAGTTGATCCCCAAGCACAGACAGCATAGGTGAGGTATGGATGTATAAGTAAATGGTATAGTGTGAGAAGGGCAGTTTGCGGCACGTAGTATCGTATCTTAGAGAGGATCCCCACCGTTTTGGATACTATTTTTGTTATGTGTTAGATATGGGTGCTGAAATTTAGATTGTTGTCGAGGTATAGGCCAAGGAATTTGCCCTCATTATGTCTGGCAATTAGAGTGTTGTCGATCTTAATGTTAAGTTGCACAACACCTGCACTGCTACCAAACATAATATAGTAGGTTTTGTAAGTGTTAAGTGTAAGTTTATTGGCTGTCATCCAAGTCGACATTTTGAGCAGCTCCTCGTTAACAATGGTGCTGAGGGTGGCAAGACTAGGGTGGGAGATGACATAAGTCGTGTCGTCAGCAAAGAGAATGGGTTTCAGGTGTTGGGATACGTTTGGAAGATCATTGATGTAAATGAGGAAGAGCAGGGGTCCAAGGACACTTCCCTGCGGAACTCCAGTATCAAGTGGCCGTATTGATGAGGCTGTGTCTTTAATGGTGACATACTGATACCTATTAGAAAGGTAGGATTTAAAATATGCAAGCGCATGGCCTCTTATACCATAGTGGTCAAGTTTGTGGGAGTAGGATGCCGTGGTCTAATGTGTCAAACGCTTTTCTTAGGTCAATAAAAATTCCTAGCGGATATTCTTTATTTTCCAATGCTGTGTAAAGCAGGTCTAGCATTTTTATAATTGCATCATTAGTGTTTTTATTTTTCCTGAATCCAAATTGGCAGGGGTTGAGTATGTTTTGTGACGTTATAAATGAATATAGTCTCCTGTGCACGAGTTTCTCGAAGATTTTGGATAGCAATGGTAAGTTTGACATTGGCCTATAGTTGTTTACATCTGTAGGGTCACCACCTTTATGTATTGGTGTAACCCTTGCTGTCTTGAGTAGTGTCGGAAAAGTGCTAGTTTCTAGTGACTTGTTAAAAAGTAATGTAATAGCATGCGAAAGGACATGGGCCGCTCACTTGTACAATAATGGTGGGACGTGAGACAGATTCCCCGAGTTATTTTTAAGTGACTATGATCGCGGTGACTTCCGTGGACTCAGTTTGTACAAGAAAGAAGGAATTTGGGAAATTCCCATCTAGGTAGTCCCCGGCACGGGCATTGGTACGTGGGATTTTACTGGCGAGATTAGATCCTATGTTTGAGAAGAAGTCGTTTATCTTGTTAGCTGTATCAGTGAGATGCAGTGGTGTTTCATGAGGTTTAGTTAGAACAATATTCTTGTTTTTTTTTTAGTTTGTGGGTCCCCAGAATCTGAGAGAGTGTTTTCCAGGTCTTTTTTATATCTCCTCTTGTGTCAGTGAATCTACTGGAGTAGTATAGTTGTTTGGCTTTCTTTATTAATTTGGTGAGAACTGTTGAATATTGTTTAAGAATATCTTTGTGTATTAAGCCCTGTCTATATTGCTTTTCAAATTGGTGTTTCTTATCAATGGATTTCAGAATGCTGTTGGTTAGCCATGGGCAACCAAGCCGTTTATTCGTGATCTGTTTCGTTTTTATAGGACAACGTTTGTTGTATAGTCTAAGTATTTTGTTAAGAAAAGTGTCTGTCCAATCGTCAATACCATTGGCATTGGAGAATTCTGTAGGCCAGTCAACAGTCTCTAGGTCTGCTGTGAAATTCCTTATTGAGGCATCGTCGTGGAGTCTAAATGAAACTTTGTTGTATTCAAGTGGTGGTTTACTAATGTTTGTCAGGAGGAAGGTAGGGTAGTGGTCAGTAGTGCTATCTGTGATTATCCCTGATTAAGGGGGGCTAGTATATTGGTCCATATGTGGTCTATTATGGTTGCACTTGTCTCAGTCAGCCTGGTTGGTCTAGTTATTGTTGGTATGAGAAGTGTGTTGTTCATATTGTTGATGAAATCAGTTACAGGTTGATCATCTGGTAGGCCAAGGTTGATATTGAAGTCTCCAGCTAAGAGAAGGTGGTGCTTGTTCATTTGTCTGCTTGTTCATTTGACTTTAGATTCTCACTGAAGTTTGGGATGTTTGTGTGGGGTATCCGGTATATGGCACCGATTGTCTCCAAGAACACTGTGGTGGTGTTCCTTTGTTATTTTAAGCTGGAGTAGAAAACTTAGTTCCAATACATCAGCAGTTAAAGACACTTAGTTGATCAAATTGTTAGATTAAAACCAATTGACTGAATGTGAGTCATTAAGTCATAGCACCAATATTCCAGTGGTTGTTTAATCACCAGTACGCTAGGGGTTACTTAATGATAGATGGGAATCGTAAGTCAGCAGTAACTTAACTTATACCCAACACTGGTATGTCATCGGTTACTCAACCGGTTCAGGGATTGTTTAACCACTAAATCCTGCATAGGGAGCAATTATTGCCGACGATAAAAGCACCACTTAACATAGTGGTGATCACTAGCTATCCATTTTCTAGTTCTTAGGGAGGAGAATGAGAAATTAAAATATTTTGATAAGAAGGATGGCATGTGCAATAATGAATGTTAGGTGGTTGGCAGAAACGATGGGAAACCATGTTGAATGTAACGAATGGAAAGTGAGTTTGAGAAGTGGCAGGACGAAACTGAGGAACGATTAGTAAGTTTATTCAGGTATACACAAATACTGTTACACAGATTATTATACACAGCAGTATATGTGTAGAACCTACGATAACACAAAGTGACTTATTTTCACTGGGGTCTTTTTATTGCCCTATTATTATATTATAAAGGAGATAATATGTTATTATTATACTATAAAGGAGATATACTAGGAATAAAGTAAATTGAGGTTAGGTTAGGTAAGGTTCGTCAGGAAACAGGACAAATGTTTCCTGACGCGGGTCTTAGTCAGATGATGACCCGCCTTTGGAGCTTTTGGTCATCTGACCGAGGCCTTCCGCTGGCTTACCGGTCCACCCCTTTAAAAATTATGATCATTTATAACCATTGTAAATTGAGTTATTTATATTTACATGTGTGTTAGCTAAAAATATAAACAATCATTCTCCTCCCTATCTGTCGCTACATTCATTAGGTATCTTTTGGCTGTCTTCTTGAACTGGTTCATGTACAGGCAGTCTGTTCCATTCCTTTATTGTTGTATAATAAAGGGTGTTTGAAGCCTGGCCACTGACTGTGGCTACTACAAAGTTGTGTTCTCTCCCCCTGGTATTGTGATTACTTTGGTTCCCAACCTTGACAAAATTAGCAGCAAGATATTCTGGACACTGTTTGTGAGCAATTTTATAAACTTAATTTAACTTCAGTTGTTTTACTCTGTCTTCAATATTCAGCATATCCAACTGCTGTAATTCATCCAGGCCTACATGTTCTCTTGGACCCAGGCCTACATGTTCTCTTGGACCCAGGCCTACATGTTCTCTTAGAACCCAGGCCTACATGTTCTCTTGGACCCAGGCCTACGTGTTCTCTTGGACCCAGGCCTACGTGTTCTCTTGGACCCAGGCTTACATGTTCTCTTGGAACCAGGCCTACATGTTCTCTTGGACCCAGGCCTACGTGTTCTCTTGGACCCAGGCCTAAATGTTCTCTTAGACCCAGGCCTACATGTTCTCTTGGACCCAGGCCTACGTGTTCTCTTGAACCCAGGGCTAAATGTTCTCTTGGACCCAGTCCTACATGTTCTCTTGGACCCAGGCCTACATGTTCTCTTGGACCCAGGCCTGCATGTTCTCTTAGAACCCAGGCCTACATGTTCTCTTGGACCCAGGCCTACGTGTTCTCTTGGACCCAGGCCTACGTGTTCTCTTGGACCCAGGCTTACATGTTCTCTTGGAACCAGGCCTACATGTTCTCTTGGACCCAGGCCTACGTGTTCTCTTGGACCCAGGCCTAAATGTTCTCTTAGACCCAGGCCTACATGTTCTCTTGGAACCAGGCCTACATGTTCTCTTGGACCCAGGCCTACGTGTTCTCTTGGACCCAGGCCTAAATGTTCTCTTAGACCCAGGCCTACATGTTCTCTTGGACCCAGGCCTACGTGTTCTCTTGAACCCAGGGCTAAATGTTCTCTTGGACCCAGTCCTACATGTTCTCTTGGACCCAGGCCTACATGTTCTCTTGGACCCAGGACTACATGTTCTCTTGGACCCAGGCCTA